AGTGGAACAATCACTGCCCTGGTGCTGCTGGACATGCTGTTGATGATAAAATCCTGCATCCCAGTGCCCCTCTTGGCAAATGACATGCAGTGGAGATGACTGCTTCATTTTGTAGGAGCCTTTCATATGTTTTAGCTTGCTCTCATGACCATAAGACTGTTTCTATGCTTTTTGGTCCAGAGGATTTCTCCAGGTACAGTTTCTTGAGTGTCTTTCCCAACACTGTGAAGACAAGTAGTTTTCAGACTTCTAGGTACTTCAGAAAAAGATTGGTGTAAACCTTAAAGGCAATGTTTTAGCTCAATAATTTTCCCATTCTAGACCTGTTTTTTTATCATCTCACATGTATGCAAAATATATGTTACTTGCCAAATACTAGAAATTAAATTACAGCTTTTCTAATACAAAGAGACACCTCCTCTTCTATTGGAAGTGTCCTTGCCTTTGGGAGGTCCTTTCCAACTCAAACTATTCTGTGACCTTTTATGTGTTGGCATCTGAGACACATTTTCATTTGTGTTAAAGCAAACTTTAATATCTTTAATGGTGGTGTTTTTAAATTAATTAGTAGACTTATGCAAGGACAATCTCCTCAAGACAGCAGTTACCTTGCAGGGTCTCATAATTTCCCTGATAGGAAAGCCGTGGCAAATGTGGGAAGAGAAAATGACCTTATGGCCACCAGTACACAGCAGTTGTTGGAGCAGATACTGCACTGCCACAGATGCATGATCCTGAATGCCTTGTTCACAATGGGGAAAAGGCAAATCTGAGTCTTTGTAGTCTGGAAACTGTTTTTCTTGTGTCCAGTCCATCTCTAAATACACTTATCTCCAGACAGATTTGTCTGCTTACTCTGTCACTTTTCTTTGTATTTATTCCTTGTGAATATGAATGTTGAGGAGCTCTGTTCTCTGCATGTTTAGCCATTAAGGCCAGAACAAGAGAAATAACTTCCCTAAGACAGTGCTGTGTTTTTCTCCTGCTTGTGGTTGATGGGTTTATGATGCAAATCACTAATGTTGCCTCCCAAACCCCTCCCCAAAAAAGAACACTTCAAGTACACGTTACAGATTGGCTCAAAGCTTTGAGTGCCTCAGCACTAGTTTGGAAAATACCTTATCAATACTGTTAATATTTAAACTTGAGGTAACCATTAACAGAAAACACAGATTACACAGTGCTACATCTATTTATTAAGCATCCACAACAAGGTCTAGATGGTGCAAGAGCTTAGCATGGTGTTCTTTAACCTCTGAAAGCTAAGTTCAAATCTAGGATTAGATCAGATGTAAATGTTAGTTACTGTCCTCATCCTTTTGTGAGCTTCCTAAACTACACCATTCATAACATTTAGCAATTCCCTGGTAATCTAATTTTAGATCTGTGGCAGGCTGACAGTATTAGCCTGAAACATCACCCTATCCTGTAAACAGGTGTTGATCCTGATGGGAAAGGACTAAGTAGGTTCTGCTGACTCAGAAGTGGGCAATTTTACTACCTCAGTGCAAGGAAACTGCTTTCTGTGAGGGAGGTCCAAGAGTGTGGACTACAGCAATGAGTATATTTTGATTTTAATGCATTTACAGTTTGTTTGATAGAAATTCTAAATCCTGGGGAGGGGGGAGGGAGTTATCTGTGCTGCTTGAATATTACTGGAGAGCAGCATGAAAGCCAAGCCTGCACAGAATGTCATCAAATCAGAACTGACCTTCATTACTGGAGCTGTCTGAGTTTGCACATTGTCTGTGCCTCTGCTTGCTCAAGTCCAGGAGAGTCAGTACCATTCCTTGTCAAATACTGAAAGTTCCCACAGAAAAGGTTTACCTGCTTTTAAGATGCTGATTACCTAGTAGTGTGTTCACTGCATCTCCCTTTCAAAAAGCTCATGAGTGTAAGAAAAGTAAGGAAGAATTATTCTGAATTTGTTTGGACACTTCTGTTTTAACAGTCTGTCATTTGAAAGAGCCTAATTTAGCCCTTCAGTCCAACATTACACCAGAGAATAATTGCAACGAAATATTGCAGAAGTTCTTATTTGGTCTCCAGAGATAAAGGTCTTGCAGAGGAAATCCAGGGAGAAAAAAAACCAAAACCAACCAACCAACCAAACAATAAACCAAAAAAAAAAAAAAACCCCAAACATCTGGAGTTGTAAAAACTCATTGTCTCTGAATGTATTTCTCACATGAAATCACTCCTCCATGGCTTCAGGCCCATGAATAGGAGCTGTCTAGCAAGATTGTCTTGACTTCTGTGAAAACTGGTTGATCTAGAATGACCCAGCCACAGAGAAATGAACCTATTAGTGGCTTGCTGTGTTTAAAACTTGTACAGCTATATTGTTAAATGTAAATAGAATTTTACTGAGCAAAAATACCCTCTTGATGTTTCCTCTCAAAGGCCTGATTGAATGCACCTGTCACCTGGTGAAAGGAAACAGAAGAGGCTTTGCTGCAGCATAGCTGCTCTGCCTTACCTCAGTAGTATAAACCAAAGATATCATAAGGAGGATGCCTATATGCTGCCTCTTTGGCTGATTTAAAAATTCTGTAACAGCTGCCAACTCTTCTCGTTTTTTTTTTAATCTATGGGAAGCATAGCTGGTAGAAATGGCTGTAGAAATGAGGGTCTGTTCTAACTTGTGACTCCTTGAACTGCAGTAACTGTGACTGTAAACAGTCAACTAAACCATGGGCAAACTCTGCTATCACTGAAAGCTGCAGTAAAGACAGAGGAAGGTTAACCTGATCCTAAGTGAAGGCCACACAGAAGTGTTTTTCAAAAGCCAGATTTACAGTTTTGCTGCTCTACATGGTAGCTTTTCAGCTATGAGTAACATAAGTGATCAGCAAACACAGAAATGTTGTCTTTTGATGAATACTCTGACCTGTGGGAATAGAATTGCTGATCTCTAGGAATTTCCTGTCTGAAAGCACTGGTCTAGCCTGACAAGTGGGCTCCTTTAAGGACTGCAGTGAAATCCATCCACTATGAAGGCATGAACAACTTCCCGCTGGTGATCTACAAGCACTGTTTTGACATGACTGAGAAATAAAGTCACAGGGCTATGAACAGTTAAAAGATTAACTAATCTCTGAGATAGAATGATCAAAGGAACCTTTTAGAAGAGACTTCCTGTAATGGGTGAATTTTTGACTTAAAGGGAAAAAGAAACCCAGAGGCCAGGCTGGCCTGGTAGGTGACTAAGGGGAGAGCAATTAGATTCTCTGTGAGTTACTCATGCCTTCAGCGTGTTTTAAGACCTCTTTTATCTTAACTTGTGCTGAGGTAATTTCAGTTGATACTATACAGGAAACTCCAGCTCCTGGCCAGCTCTGGGAATACAGGGCACTGTGTGACTCCATCCAGAAGAAATCTCAGCTTAAATCCTCTTGTGTCTGTACTTAAGAGGACCAGGAGGGGTCAGCTTTGCAGCTCTGCCTCAGCAATAGGGCTAAGATCTGAGTCTAAACATGTTATAGAAATATATGTAGCTCAGATTCAGTGCCTACTACTTACTGGATTTGTTTGTAGTAGAGAAAAGGAAATCAGGCACACTTCAAAGAACTTACTGATAAATCTAACCACCCAAACAAAAACACCTCACTCTCTTTTTTTCTCTTGATACCAGCGATACGTGGTATCAAGAGAAAAATACATTGTTATTCTTCTGGCAAAGTATTAGCAAGTCATCTCTAGGAACTTGATTCTCCACCATGAATCGTGTGCTCAACTCTTACTGAAGTTAGAGATCACAGAATCATGCAATCAATAGAATAGTTTTCATTGGAAGGGACCTTAAAACTCATCCAGTTCCAACCCCCTGCCATGGGCAGGGACACCTTCCACTAGACCTGGCTGCTCCAAGCCCTGTGCAGCCTGGCCTTGAACACTTCCAGGCATGGGGCAGCCACAGCTTCTCTGGGCAACCTGTGCCAGGGCCTCACCACCCTCAGAGGGAAGAATTTCTTCCCAATATCCCATTTCCTGCTCTCTTTCAGTTTAAAGCCATTCTCTTGTCTTGTCACCTGTGTCAAGAGTCCCTGTCCATCTCTGTTGGAGCCCCTTTTGGTACTGGAAGGGGCTCTAAGGTCTCCCCAAAGCCTTCTCTTCTGCTGAACAGTCCCAAATACAGACACATGAGCACAGCATTTTTCAGGCTCAGCCACTGAACAGCAAACCAATCCAAGATTTTGGAAGCTTAGTCTTTAAGGTGTGAAAAATGCATATTTTATGATTGGCTTTTCACAAATATTAAAATGAATATTATATGTGTTGTGTTAGAAAGTTATGTTGTATTAATTTTCTTAAGTAGTGTGTTAAATATAGTTTTTGGTTATAACAAAATGTTAAAATAGAAACTATGCTATGTAGGATACTTTTTTAAAGAAAGGACTCGCAGGGAGATCGCAGCCACAGGACACCTAAATCTTTCAGAGAAAAAGAATTTATTGCCCCATTATCAGAAGAAATGAACTTCTTCCTGCCTCAAAGGCGCTGTTAGGATTCAGAGGAAGAAGCTGACACTGACCAGACAGAATCCTGTGTTTGAATGCAATTTATGCATCATGTATGAGGTGTATGAATGTACAACAGGCTATTGTTTTTAAGGGTTAATCCTCTGTTAACGTGTGTCCTTTTTCAGGCTTATTTTGCCCAGAAAAAGGTACCCGGACTGTCCGTAACTCTTTGTTTCTATTGTCTCATATTGTCCTAATCCAAATTGTCCAAATTTTTACTACTCTAATTATATTGCTATTTTTATAACCATTTTATTACTATTAAACTCTTAAAATTTTAAAAACAAGTGATTGGCGTTTTTCACAAAGGGAAAAAAATGGACTCTAAAAAATTAATTTTCTATGTCCTCGTTTCACACAAGTTCAAGAAATAAAAACTAAGTTCACACCACAGAGCCCATCTTTGACCTAACACAGGACAACAAATTTTTCCCTACTGCCATTTGTAATAATTGGGATTTTTTTCATAATCATCAGAAAGGAGCTGATTGCCAGGCTGGAGCAAGTGGAAAAAGAAAGCATGGATGCTGCTCGGCTGGCTAAGGAGTACGCACAGCTGACAGAGGAGAACCGGACGCTGAAGCTGGCCCAGACACAGTGCGTGGAGCAGCTGGAAAAGCTCAGGATACAGTACCAAAAGAGACAGGGCTCCTCATAACTCCCAACCAGCTCATGGGAGGCACTTCATACAGGAATGGAAAACAGATTTTAAAATAAAGATCCGTTGAATATGTTACAACGCTTTACTACGGATACAGAGTATGTATAAGTTTGAATTTGATTTAATGCTTGCCACCCAGTAGCTTAATATAATGGATATTTCATCCATTATATAATGAATGTTTTATTTCAAGCAACATAATTGAAGTTAATCTATCCCCATAATATGTTCTAGTGGATCAGGTTTCTTTTCTAAACATATTTTTTCCAATTTAAGAAGATATGGACACACTAGAAAATTATATAAATAGTCTCTGTGTTGGAAATTTGGATCATACTAAGGACTGGGACAATGTTAATATATGGAATACATGTATGTTAATTTTAGTTTGGTAAATTCTTTTTAAATTATTTTCCTCATGCATAAAGTGTTTGGAAGTTATCTTGAAGCAGATCTCCTCACTAGTAAAAACCATACTTGATGTCAACTTCACACTGTTGTATAAAATCTGAAAAACTGCACAATAAAAACGGAAGTAACAAAATTATTTTTTATCAAACAAGTGCACTGACAGTGATAATTTGCAAGTTATAGAATTAAAAGGAAGCAGAAGAGATCAAACTTTCCTGCCTTAAGTGTAAAGATTACTTGAGTGTCTTTTTATTGTACTTTTAGGCATGCAAGAAATGAAAAATTAATATAAGAATCATAATTTCATCATACTTTCAACTGAGACTATGTCAGTAAAATTATTGTAAGGCTTTTTTGTTCTTATTTTCTGGTCTATTTTGAAACCTAAGTGGCTGTAAGTAGGGATGGGAGTTCTGTGATTCACAAATAACTGGAAGTAAAATGTCAGTTTTACTTGGTCTATTTATCCCTGTATTTTCCTGGATCAACTTAAAAATCTTCATTACACCTCCATTTCTATCCATAGAGCAGTTTATTCGTTAAAAGTGGATATAGAAAAGCCCTTTTATGTTCTGAATGTTCTCAAGTCACCCTATATTTTAAACTCTACTTGTCAGATGCAGCTTCTTACATCTTCATGAGCTTAGAATTCAACCTAATGTGTTATTAGTACTGTGTCTTAGTAATTGAAAACTATGAAGTTAAGATTTGCACCAGGACTTTAGCTTTGATTATTATCATTAATCTACCATGAAAACGGAATTTCATGTTAATCAGGACAATTTCTGGCAGCAAAAGGGACAAAAAAAATAATTACAAGCTGCCTGTAATTTATCTGTGCTAATTGCCTACAGTATTCCCTGCAGCACAGATGGGAAAACTGGCTCTGTGTTACTCCAAGCACCTGGCACTGCAGCAGGAGAGCATGAAGAGGTAGCAGGAGAGGACAACCTTGTTTCCACTTCTCCTCCTGAGCTGCCAGGGCAGTGTCAGCATCCAAACTTGGCACTGCTTCCTGCTGTACCTGGGAAATCCCCACTCCTGAGGCATGGGCTTCCTGCTGGAATGCTCCCTGAGCCGTGGAACTCTGTATTTATTCCTCTTATTATCTGAGGATCCAATTTTCCTTGTACTTTGAGGAAGTTGAAGAAAAAAAAAAAACATAGTTAATAAAAACCACTAGGAATATTAGGCCTGGAAATGCTGCAAAACTCTTGTCTGAGTTTTGCACTGTTGGGAAACATAACTTGAAGAGAAATCAGAGCTTTGCTTTGAGCACAGAGCACCACAGAAGCTAGAATTACCCTTTTTTGCCTGCGTTTGCGTGTTTTGAACAAGAGAAATCTCATTTTAAAATAGTTTGTCATTTTAGTCAAAGGTTTTTCCATCTAGCCTTGAAAACATCATGCAGTCAGATGATTTTAGTGAATTCACTGAAAACCATATAAAGTGCATAAAATTTGTTTATTGACACACTGTCTTTGGATGCAAATGGAGCAGACCTTTACTTCCAAATAACTGTGTTCACCTTGAAATTTTCTATTTAAGTGCAGTCACCATGCTTTAGATATCAGAAAAATTACAGACCATATACTGGGAGAAAAACCTGAGAGAGAGCCACAGTCAGGTGGAGAAAGAATGCTGGGCCTCACTTGTGGCAATCAGCACTTGGAGAATAGTAATGGAATATGTTTTTGCTAACCTGTAGGTACTGACCATTATAGAAGAATTCAAGAAATATTTTACAGATGTGCAGATGCCAAATTTTTGATGTGGGCCAGCCTACAAGCCTGGATAAATATGAAATTCTTAAACCATCCCAAACTATTTTAAGTCAAAGATTTATATTCAACTTGGACTTTAGCTATGTGCAATCAAATTTTCCTCCTGCTTTTAGTTATGGTTAAAGTAAAAAATAGCAGCTTTAATTGAACATATTTGCCTGCATGCATGCCCATGTGCCTGAGAGCAGGAGGTCTGAGAAATTGTATCGCAATACAAATGAGTAAAACTGATACAGAAGTACAAAGGATGAAAAATTTGTGTCTCTTGAAAATTATTTAAAAAAAAAATTTTTGGGGAAGTGGGATTCAAAGGCAAGAAGGTAGGGAAATGGAATTTTCCAAAAATATTCATAGGCAAGTTAAATTAAAATGTGGCATAGTCAACATAATGCAAAATCATCCAGGTGTTGAAAAGAGTAAAGGTAGCTGGAATAACTTTCTGAGAGGTAACTGCTGTACCTATCATCCATCTCTTGATTTGTTTATCAAGAGCTTAATAGTGAAAAATATTCTCACATTCAGTAAGTCTCCAGTTTGGACATGCTGAGTTTTTCTTTAGATACAGTGGAGCTCTGCTGACTAAATAGCTGAAATCAGGCTTTTTAATAAAGCATTTATCGTACTGATCCTGTATTTTCCACATAGACAATATGGTTTGTGTTCTGGTTGAAGTGGTCTGCATGCTAGGTCCTGTTGTATCTATCACAATATAAAAACAAGTTTTATACAATTATTTCGCAGACATTTTTAGAAGTTCAAAAACTTAGAAGTCAGTTTTTGAAATCAAGTACCAATGAAAGGTTCAATTTTATAACATGTGACTACAACCTGTGAGAACTGCAGCTGTATTATAGACAAAGTGTATTTCTTGCTGTTATTCAGGTTAGCAAAAGTAAGCATGCCACTACCATGACAAACGCATTTGCTTCAAACCACTTAAGGCACAGTGAAGTACATGGCTTTGAAACAAAAACAAGACCTGTGCTTTCCATTTTCTATCATTGCTAAACAACTTCCTTCCGTCGTAAAGAATGCTGAACAAACTCAATTTAAGGCTTCCAGTTAGCAAGGATATGACTCATGGGGCTTGAAACAGCCAGAGCCAAGGGTGACTTGATGCTTGGAAAGTCTGGAAGATGCGGAGCTGTGAGTTTGAGTTTGGTACCTTTTTAAAAAAACGTTTCCCTTTTCAGGATTACCTCTATTCTGTCTGATTTTGTGAATTAATGATCTTTGGAAGTGTGTCACCTTCCACCAGAGGCTTCCATCATCTAGGCCTTTGTAAAGATCACACACTGCTAACAGTGGGGACAGGTGGGACAGAGAGGTGTTCTCAGCCTTCCTTTGGGTTGTGTGCTTGGGGAGCTCTGCCACGTGACCCTTTGCTGCTTCATCTCCAGTCACAGGACACCTTGCAGAAATTAGCTAGTCACAGTAATAACCACAAAGCCACTTGGTGGTGTTCCCTATCTAAAATTCTTTTATTGATCAACACACAAAGTGGAAGCGTCTAAAGGAACAGGGGAGACTTGTGTTGCCATATTTTCTGAAAAATCCCTTTGCCAGGATTTTTCTCCTGAGAAGCTGAGAAGCCTCAGAGGAAAAGCAAAACAATAATTATCTTCTGCTTTGGAATGCAACAGGTGTATCTTTGATTAGTCTCATGTGGTTGTTTTTAATTAATGGCCAATCACAGTCCAGCTGACTCGGACTCTGAGAGTCACGAGCTTTTGTTATCCATTCCTTTCTATTCCTTTGCTAGTCTTCTGATGAAATCCTTTCTTCTATTATTTTAGTGTAGTTTTAATATATCATTTTCTTTTAATATAATACATATCATAGAATAATAAATCAGCCTTCTGAAACATGGAGTCAAGATTCTCATCTCTTCCCTCGTCCTGTGTGGGAACCTCACCATTTCCTTCACTGGTTTTGCAATGTTAAACTGGGAGTTACCGAGGTGGACTTTCAGGTGCACACCAAAACTGTGAGGCTGACACTTCAAATTCAAAGTAGATTATTTTATAAGAATGAAAAATCTACCTTGCTTGGGACAATGCCAATCACCTCTAGGTTCTTCAGTGCTCCTAACAAGTAATGTCATGTGTTACTCATACCCATATGAATGAAAGATGACAACCATTCACAAATCACCATTATCCTCAACCCAGGCTTCCTCCACTGCATGATTTATTCTGTAGAAAGCACAAGATTTCGCATATGAGTCACTCTGCTTTTCTACACACCAATTATCAGTTCCCCCTTCTAAACCTCAGTTCCTTCAATGCCTCTGACCACAATCCATCCCCAATGAGTAAGCAGCATCAGCCCAGAGCTCAGATCCAGTTGTCTGACGATCTTATGACATGGTCTGATGATCACCATGTGCTCAAGGTGGTTTCCAAGTGCTATGTGTGATGCTTTGTGGTTCGGTGCTGGTATGTGGCAGCAAGGAATTCTACCAGCCTTCAGGTGTCTGCTCTGAGACATGCTTGGTTTCCTTGAACTGGTTAGAAAATATGAGAGTAGGTGGTCTGTGGATTTAGTTATTTGTCTTAATCTTACACTAGATTTTAATACAGGAATTAGGGAAACGAAATGAGGATGTGTGTGCTGATGTAACAAATGTGCAGCCAGATGCCAAACTGTGCTCTGGGTGCAAGGAATGAGTTAAGTGATATGAGAACTTTAAGTGATGGAAAGGAAGTAGGGACAGCTAGGAAGAGGAACTGGTGAGTGAGCTGTTGCTGTAACTGCTTGCTTTCTGGCTGCTTATGGCTTGCACCAATAGAATGTATAGGCTGTTGTCCTTAGCTCAGCATTAAGAAGCTTTTTTTTTTGGATGCATCCCAGCACTTTTCCAAGCCTAGTTTTCACTAAAATTTTATACTGGAATATTTACTTCATTAAGGTAATGTTTTTGTCAGCTCCGTCTAGAATTAACAGAGTTATGACGTGGTACAGATATCAGAGCGTTGCAGATGGTTCTTCTACAGAAAGAGGAATAGCCAGTATGAGAATATGAAGAATATGACTATTGTGCTAATCATGGAATCATAGGAAATCTTGAGTTGGGAGGGTCCCATAAGAGTCATTGAGTCCAATTCTATGCCAACTGCTGTATTTGCATTAAAGATAAATAAAACCTTGATAAATAGCCAATGTGAAGTAAAAACTGCATCGAAGCCAGAGCACTTCAGTACTAAAATAACTGCACTAATGGTCTTTTGCTGCTTTCACTGCACAAGAAGAGTTTGGTACTTTTATGAACTAGATCCCCAGTTTCCCACATGAAGGAATAGAAGAAGTATGATGTTCTGTGATTGAAAAACATTCACCTCTGTCTTGTAACTTTCTTACAAGTGTATGACAAACATCAGTGCACAACCCCATCAGTGCACAAACATCAGTGCACAACCCAGATTGCCTTGTGACCACAGATTTCTTCACAGCCATTTCATCACAGTGTTCTCCCCAGCCTGGGTCTTTGACTCCCACATTCCTCTGCTGTGCGTGGACAGCTGAAATAAGTCAACGACTCTGAACTTTTTAAAGCAGTGAGAAGCAAATGCATAATTTAACATGATGTGCTAAGGAAATTGACTGTCT